AGTTCTTTATATATTCTAGACAGTAGTCCTTTGTCTGATGAACAGCTGGTAAAAATTTTTTCCTACTTTTTGGTTTCTGTCTCCACTCTGTTGGTGGTTTCTCTTGGTGTGCACTCAATGTTGTTTTAACTTGGATTTGTCTCATGGCCAGGGAGGCTGAACATTTTTTTGTGTATTTATTGGCTATTTGTACTTCTTTTTCTGACAAGTGTCTATTCATTTCAGTTGCTCATTTTTTGATTGGATCTTTTATTTTTTTGGTGGGGGTCTAATTTTATGAATTTTAAGAAATGTATTTTACATATTAGTCCTCTAAGCAGAGCTGACAAAAATTTTCCCATTCTGTAAGTTGTCTCGCCACTACATTATTTCTTTTGCTGTGCAGAAGCTTTTTGATTTAATCCATTTGACTCCTGATATTGTTGATATTTGTTTTTATGGCAGTGCCATGCTGTTTTTATCACTGTGGCTTTGTACTATAACTTGATTGTTTAGTATTGTGTTGTCTCCTGCTTTGCTCTTGGATTGCTTTTGCTATTCTGGGTCTCTTTCGGTTCTATATGAATTTTAGGACTGTTTTCTCCAGTTCTGTGAACCAAGCTATTTGGTTTTTTTTTTTTTTTGGTACTGGGGATCAAACTTGGGACCTTGCTTTTGTGAGGCAGGCGTCAGAACCACTGAGCTAAATCCCCAGCCCGAGCTACTGGTATTTTGATTGGGATTGCATTAAAGTTGCATATCAGTTTTGGAAGTATGGCCATTTTTTTTTCAAAACATTTATTGATAGGGCTGGGATGTAGCTCAGCAGTGCCACGCCTGCCTCTCAAGCGCAAGGTCCTGAGTTCAATCCCCGGTACTGAGGGAAACAAAACAAAATAAAACATTTATTGGTACATTTTAGACATACATAATGATAACATTCATCATAATTTTTCTTGATGCTATTGACTGGTATTGTTTTCCTAATTTCTTTCTCAGTGAGTTTATTATTGGTTTATAGGAATGCTATTGATTTTTGTGTGTTGATCTGTATCCTACTACCTTGCTGAATTTATTAGTTCTAAGAGACTTTTGGTGGAAGCTTTTGGGTCTTTTATGTAAAGTGTTGTGTGTTTTGCAAATAAGAATAGTCTGCTTCTTCCTTTCTTGTTTTTTTTTTTTTTTTTTTGGTACCGGGGATAGAACTCGGGGACCTTGCACTTGCGAGGCAGGCAGCGGCACCACTGAGCTAAATCTCCTCCAGCCCATGCTTCTTCCTTTCTTATATGTACTCCTTTTGTTTCTTTCTCTTGCCTGATGGTTCTGGTTGATATTTAGAGTACTGTATTGAATAGCAGCGGTCCTAGTGCAGAGCCTTGTCTTGTTCCTGATTTTGGAGGGGAAGTGTTCACCTTTTCTCCATTTAACGTGATGCTGGATATGGGGCAGGACCGTGAGTCACTGCAGAGACCTGGTTTGTGAGTGTGAATGGCGTCCTGCCGCCTTTCCTGCTGGGCTGTGCTGGGTGCAAGGTTTCTGCCCAAGGACGGTTCACTCCAGAGCCACTCCCTGTCCCCGCCTCCCTCAGTGGGTGCAGAGGCACAGCTTCTCTGCCTAGCTTCTTGGCCGTGGCTTTGTGAGCTGCTCCCTGCTCAGAGCCCCTCTGTCTGTGCCCCCCAGCCTATAGCAACTGCCCAAGCTGAGGCAAAGCCCTGCTCAGGCTGGCAGCTGAGGGCGCAGACAGACACGCAGCTCTGTGATGGGCACAGGGCCCTGGGGCTGGGGGTCCAAGCAGAGCCCTGCACTTGGTGCCAGCACTTTCAGACCCAGCCCCTCCAAGCTGGGCCTGGTTTCTCACCAGGAGGGCAGGGCCCCAGGGCGTCCTTCCAGGACTGAGCTCAGATGTCTCAGGGTCCACATCGAGTCCTCACCCTGTCTGACTCCCAGCTGTCACTGTGAGGTAGTGTCTCTTCTGTCATTTTTCTGTGGCTCAGTCTTAAACAATTAACCCTTCCCCGAATGGCTCCCGATCAAATACCTTCAAATGTGGCAGGCGCTACATGGATCTTCTTCTCCAAGTCTGGCCTGCTATGTGGAGGAGTCATGTTGGAGTAAAATCCCTCCCTGTTTGCAGTGAGCAATACCCACGGGCTTTCCGGGGCTTTCCGGGGCAGGCTGGGCCCCCGCAGTGGGGTGAGCTTCCACACTGCGTCATTCTTGCATCTCTTTCATGCTCCATTTCTCCACTTGCTCTGGTTTGCAGTTTCCTGTGGGCTCTTTCTTGATTCCCGGAGATCTCTTTCCTTTTATCCTCACTGAGTTGTTGTTTTGCAGGGGTCAGGGTTCCTGGCTCTGGGGAGGCTGTGCTTTGCTGCCGGTCTGTCTGGCTTGTGTGTGTCAACTTCCGGGTTGAGGCGCTGCCCAGCGCTGGGCTCTGCATTCTGCTGTGTTCAGAATGAGCATACAGATCACCCTGCTGTGGCCAGGGTATTTTGCCAGGGGCTGGGCACCCCTCCTCTTTCATCCTTCTAGAAACTTCTGGTGACTCTGCTCATGCATGTCACTGTCATGGGGCTTACCAGAGACCTGCATGTCTGGTTTGCATGTGTGGTCTGCGGCTGGCTGGGCAGGCTCTGGCCGTCTTCCCCCGCCGACCTGCTGGCTACTGAAGCAGCACACTCCCCTCCTGCAGTCACTCTGCTGGAGCCAGACCTGTGGAGGACAGAGAGTGTTGCGTCACCCACCCTGCTGGTCACTATGCCCCCGAGGGCAGGAGCCCAGTGTGATGGTGTTCACCACACTCTGCTCTCTAGAGGCCTGTGTGGAGGAGCAGGGGAGGACACAGGGGTGGTGTGGACAACGTCACTGTGGGGTGTCGCCAGGCAGATCACACCAGGTAGAGAACTCGCTGAGATTTGTGCGCCCTGTTAACAGAGCTGACAGCAGGCATGGGAGCTGGGCCTGCAGTGCATATGTGAAGCCACTGGCAGTTTGAGTCACAGCTCCAAGCCTGAGCTCCAGCTTCAGAAGGCTCAGCCTGAGAGAGGAAGCTGTGAGGAGACTGAGCTCAGAGGCCAGGACAGGAAGGCCGGGGGCATCTGGTGAATGGCCAGAAGCTGGGGCCTTCCAGGAGCCAGTGCAGGGGTGCAGGGTTCAGGGGTGCAGGGTGCAGGGGTGAGAGGGTGCAGGGTTCAGGGGTGAGGGGTGCAGGGTTCAGGGGTGCAGGGTGCAGTGGTGCAGGGTTCTGGGGTGCAAGGTGCAGTGGTGCAGGGTTCAGGGGTGCAGGGGTGAGAGGGTGCAGGGTTCAGGGGTGAGGGGTGCAGGGTTCAGGGGTGCAGGGGTGAGAGGGTGCAGGGTTCAGGGGTGAGGGGTGCAGGGTTCAGGAGTGAGGGGTGCAGGGTGCAGGGGTGAGAGGGTGGGAAGAGTGGGGCCAGCGGGAGGAGAGTCCAGGAGGGACAGATGAACAGATAGAGGACCAGGCTGGTGAAGGAAGACTTCGTTTTGTTATTTATTTAAAAATGGGGGCCGGGGATTTAGCTCAGCAGTTTTGCTGCCTGCTGCATAATCTCAAGGACCCGAGTTTGATCCCCGGTACCAAAAAAAAAAAAATTCCCATTGGGCGTGGTGTTTAGAGTGTACCCCAGAAGCTGGGAGTGGTGGTGCACGCCTGTGATCTCAGCACTCAGGAGGCTGAGGCAGGAGGATCGCCATCAGTTTGAGACCAGCCTGGGCTACATAGTGAGACCATGTCTCAAAACAAAACAGAACAAAACAAATAGCGTGTCCAGCAGTGCCCTGGGATGTGTGTCCCTGCCTGCACAGCGACGGCTCTGGCAAGAGCAGCTCTGCTTTTCACTTTACAGAAGTCCCAAGTTCGACACATGTGCCCCAGGCCCCGAGCTGTGTGGTGTTCTCACGTGTTCTTGCTGCATATTTGCTGCTCTGCATCCTCTGGCTGCGTCTCCTCATCTCCTCCCACCTGGGCCCTGTAATGCTGCTAACCTGTTGATTCTGTGTCTCTGGATGTCTGACATTTTTTGGTAAGATCTCACATGTAAATCAGGTCCTGCCACATTTCATGTGTCTGGCTTGTTTCACTTAGCACAGGCTCCGCTGGCTTGTGGCCAGAGGCAGGGTCTCCCGACCTTCCCCTCTGCATGGCGGGGGCTTGAGCAGGCCACAGAGTGCGTGCTGGGCTTGTGCTCCCTGCGGACTCCGGGTCCCCTCTCAGGCTGCACAGTGCTCCACGGTGTGGGTGCTGGCCTCTCTGCCACCCACCCGCGGGTGGACGCTTTGCCTGGGCTGGGCCTGCAGAGAAGCAGAGGAAAGGGCCAGCTGATCCTGGTACCAGCGCTGACTGGGTCCCCCTCAGGAAGAGCCCTGGGTCCCCTGGTGCCTGGGACCCTCTGTCCAAGGCCTGGCACCATCTGCTGCCTCCGTTCAGAAGTGTGGTCAGCTCCAAAGCAGCAGTGGAAGTGAGTGGTGATGTAGGACAGAGCGTCTGGGGCTGGGAGGGCCCACCTGGGCTCTGGCGACAACGTGATCCAGCTCAGCACCTGGCCAGGCGCGGGGCAGGGCTGAGTCTCCCACCCTCCCCTGGGCTGTGTAAGCTCCTGCCTCAGGTTTGTTTTCGCTGAAAACTGTGCTTCTGTCTCCAGGACTCCCATCCCTTCCAGTTGGCCCTGGAAGCTCAGCTGCAACTCACAGAGGCCTTGCTGGCGCTGAGACTGCCCTTGGCTCCAGCCCATGATTTCTCCCAGAGAAATGAAACCAAAACCGTGCTAGGCCTTAGCTGCTCCTTCATGACATTAGAGACAGGTTGTGCATGGTGAGGACTTATGTGCATATTGAAAAGGGGGGAGACCATAACTGGATCAGAACACACCAGAGGACAAGGGGCACCTGGAAAACCCTAGGAGACACGCAGTCCTGGTTTGTCCTGTGGGGAGAAGCAGCTCAGAACAGTGGGAAAAACAAAACAGGGGCACTGGCCAGGCAGGGGCTGGTGTAGGAGCCAGGACTGGGCTCCCAGGGTGCCTTGGCCTCTGGCCCTGTCGGGACAGCAGGTGACTGGAAGAAGGGAGTGAAGTGGGGTGTGTGGCAGCATGACCTTCGAGCAGGCCAAAGCCCCTTCCACAGCCCCGGAGCCTGGCCTGTCCCTGAGCTGTAAGGTGAGACACAAGCTGACCCTTCGCACATGGCTTAGGGAAGCTCTTAGGTTTTCTTGTTCTGAGGTTCATCTGCACACACCAAGGAAGCTCGGAAAGCATTTTATGCTGTTTTATTTATTTTCCCAGTACTGGGGCTCAAGCCCAGGGCCTTTGCACTGAGCTATATCCCCAGCTCTTTTTATGTTTTGAGACAGGGTCTCATTAAGGCATTAGGTTACACAGACTGGCCCTGAACTTGTGACGCTTCTGCCTCCGCCTCCCAGAGCACTCGGATGATGGGCATGGGCCGCTGTCCGCTTCTAAAAGCTTTTCAGATGTGATGCCGCACTTCCTCTATGGCACCAGTCTTCTTCACACCTGTATTTCTTTTATTCAGTACTTGCTAAGTGAGCTGATAAAGGCTGCGTGTGGGAGCGACAGAGAGCAGTCTTTCAGTCCGCAAACCTCTAAGGTTCCTCTCTGGCCGATTGTCCGATTTCATTGAACGGTGCATGTGATGTGAGGTTGCTGGCCTTCATCTGAAGTTTTGCGTTCTGCAGTTTCCATTGGCATGGGCAGCCATGATCTGAAAATGACGTGAAAATTCCAGAAATAAACAGTTGGCAAGTTTTGAATCGCATGCCCTTCTGAGCAGCCTGGCGGACTCACACCGTGCTTTCTCCCTGGCACCCCCGGACTCGGGCGGCACCCCGCCCTCCCGGTGGCCTCAGAGGATCTTAGTGCTTTCCTCCCTGCTGGCACATGGTTCCCCACGACCGCAACCTAAGGAGGAGAGGTTTAATTTGGTTTAGGTTTTTAGGCTCCAAGGGCCTGGCGGGAGGGCGGAGGCCCGGACACCTGCTCTCCCGGGGCAGCCCGGCAGCGTGGAGAGAGGAGGATCCGGAGAGGAGGGAGGCAGATACTCTGGCCACACCCCTCGACCGCCTCCCAACGACAGGCCCCTCCCCTCCCAGGAGGCTCCGCCTCCCCACGGCAAGCCCCTGTAGAGCCTAGCGGCTGAGTTCAGCGCCCCTTGCTCCTCTCCCCGCGGGCCTGCGGTCCTGGGAGGCCGGGTCACCGCAGCCTTGGTGTGCGCCTGACGCTCGCCTCCCTCGGGGCTCCGGTGGAGGCGCAGGTTGGCGCTGTCTGGTTCCTCCGTGTCCGCCCTGCAGACAGACGGGGGGTGGGGTGGGGGGTGGAGCCGCGGAGCTCAGCAAGTGAAATTTCAGTGATTCCCGCCTAGTCACAGCCCTTCGAGTGTGTGACGGCCATTTCTGTTGTTTTCCTCTCATCTAGCACGGGCATTTTTGTTTCGCTTTGTTCTTTGAGGCGGGTCAGGCTGTGTTGCCCGGCTGGCTGCGCAGGCCTCGAGCGCGGGGTGCGGCCTGCGCCCCCAGCCCGCGCGCGCACCTTACAAGGTGGATGGTGCTGCTCAGTGTGGAGAGGACGGGCGCGTGGGCCGAGTTCGAGGAGCTGTCGTGGTGTCTGTCGGTTAATGCTCCGACCCTGGAGAGAGTGTGGATTGTTGGTTCGTGTCCAGCCTTCAGGGGAGGAAGGAAGCAGTCAGAGTGCCGGCTTCTTTGCGTTGGCTGCATGACCTCTTTGGCAGATGCGCTTCTCCAGTTCCCAGCAGCCCGCGGAAGGGCGCCGCCTCCCCGTGCTGGGCACGGCCGTCCCTCTGCGCACACAGAGCAGAGCGTTGCAGCCGGGCTGCGCTCGCCTCCACGAGCTTCTGAGACGGTGCTGTGATCGGAATTTTGTCTCGGGAACAGAGAAGCCCAGAGCACAAAGCTGCTTCCGTATAGATTCTAGCTGGGAGACAGACGTGGCCGTCACTGGCAATTTAAATGTCCAAGGAAAATGGGTAGAGTCCCCTCACCACCCAGCGGGACAGACAAGGTCAGCCCAGGCCTCTGGACCCTCCACTGACACCACACCGTGAGGCCTCCATGGCCGCTGTGGCCTCGCAGCAGGGTGTGCTAGCATCATCAGGGCTCAGGGGCTGGGACCTGATCAGAACCTGACAAGGAGGCCTGGTGTGGTGACTGATGCCCCAGCTACTCGGGAGGCTGAGGCAGGAAGAAGCCAAGTTTGAGCCCAGCCTGGAGAACTTACCAAGACCTTCAGAGTAAAAAGGGCTGGGGATGTAGCGCAGTGGAAAGGTCCCCAGGATGTATCCCCAGTACTGCAAAGCAGACAGGACTCTGGTCTTGAGGAGGCTGTGGAGGGGCTGGTGTAGGTGAGGTTGCAGTGGGGAACCTCTGGAAGGGCTGAGAGGGAGGGAAGGACAGCCCTTGCCCCTCAGCGGCTGTTCGTGGGTGTCCCCAAGACCCGAGACACTGTTTCTCAGGTCTCTGTGGCGGCTGAGTCACTGGGTTTTCCTCTTCCTCCCCCGAGGTCATGACCATGACATGGTCTCCGTGATTTCCCCACCCTGCTCTACGCCCCGTGGGGCTTTTGTCCAGGAGCTGTCCCTGCTTTCATTTCTGCTCAGTCCCTTCTGGTTTGCTTCAGTCTGGTGGGGCTTGGTCACTGAGGCGTCCTCTGATCTCTAGTTCGAGTGTCAAGGAAGGGAGCCTGCGTCCCAGCAGAGGCCACTGGACAGGAGGACTAACTCCCCGCTGCTGTGCGCTCTCCCCAGAGGACCTGAATGCCATGAAGTGGGGCTGCACAGATGGAGCTGGCACTTTCCTGGGCTGCTGCTGAGGGCCAGGAGCCCACTGCCCACCGCCCTGGCCATGGCACTGTCCACTGAGCTCATCCACAGGGTGGAGGAGGCGCTGGATGAGGAGGAGAAGGAGCTGCTGGCCTTCCTGTGCCGCGATGTTGCTGAGGACTTGGCATCCCACGATGCCCGGGACCTGCTGGCCACAATGAGTGAGAGAGGCCAGCTGTCCTCCCTGGGCCTGGCGGAGCTGCTCTACAGGGTGCGGCGCTTCGACCTGCTCAAGCGGGTGCTGAGGATGGACCGGGCGGCCCTGGAGGACCACCTGCGCAGGCACCCTGGCCTCGTGTCTGACTACAGGTGACACCAGCATCCCTGAGAGATAGGCAGGGAGGCGGGTGGGCCGGGCTCTAGAGCAGCAGGAGAGCAGCCTCACTGCTTCCTCTTCTCCGGCCCAGCTGCCGCTAATATCCAGGTTGACCTCCAACTCCAGATCCTCCTGCCTCAGGCTCCCAAGTGCTGGGATTCCTGGTGTGGCAGGCTTCAATTCTTAGGCCACCCTTGCTTGGATCATTAGTGAAAGTGGAAGGGACAGACGGTATGTGTTTGTTGCAAGGACAGAATGACAGGAAAGGAAGAAAGATAGCAACAGCTGAGAGCAGAACTTCTTGCAGCCCCCAACAGCGTGGCCACTGAGATTTGCCGGCTCATTCTCGGTGGTGTCAGTCACTGTCAGTTCCTAGCACCGAGGAAGGAAGTCTGACAGCATCTTCCTGTTTTTGTAAAACTCCACACCCTGAGCCGAGCTAGTGCAGCGGGGTAGGTTCCTCAGTTGCCCACTCCTCTTCCCCTCAGCCCCGCTCGGTTCCAGGGCCCTGCAGTGTTGCTGTTCCTGCCCTCACATGCTGTCCTACAGAGCCGGGTTGGGACAGGAGGAGACCTGTTCCCGCTGCTCTTTCCTTCTCTCCAGGCACCTGCCCCTTTTCTATCTGTCTTGGGTGTGGGGTGGTATGTTATAGGGGCCAGCCTGAGACCAAGGGCCCTGCAGAGTGAGGATCCGGGGCCCCCATCACCTGGACCACCTGTGCCCTCGCTGACCTCAGCCTCCAGCTGTCCCCCTTGGGGCACAGAACAAGGTTGCTGGGAGCCCACTGTGCGTCACTCTGATGCACTCCAGGATGCCTGCCAGCTCCCACGGGCCAGTCACCGTCCCACGGAGTCACCATCCCTGTTTGGAGGCCAGGCGGGAGCTCTCTGTCCCATGTCCTCTGTGGTCCACGCTGCCATCGGCCGAGCAGGGGTTTGTGAAGTGTAGGGCAGCTCGAGCGATTCCCATCCCTGAGAATCTGAGCACCCTCTGGAGAGTGGCCTTCTCAGCGCAGCCGTGGTAATGGTGCTGAGCCTGGCGTCCCCTTGGGTGTGGCAGAGGGGCCAGTTGGGAGGGCATCCAGACCAGGACTTGGGTTGGGAGCGAAGTTCTAGGGGCTTCTTTGCTTTACAGTCTTGGGACCCAAAGTGCGGTCCCCAGGTCCCCAAGAGGATGAGGCCCCGACAATTCCAGTTCTGTTTTTTGACTCAGTCCTTGGGTCCTCGTGTAACTCGGGGGAAGGGAGCTTCTGTCCTGAGTCCTTTCCAGGCCCCAGGCTGGGAGACGGGGGTGGGGGGTGTGTCTCCCGCTGGGGTCCCTGTGAGGTCTCTTGCTGGTGGCCAGGACTTCCGGTGTCGGAGGGGACACATGTGCAGGCTGTGGGCTCCTGGTGCCTGAGCTTCCTGAAGGGTCTGTTCGCTCCCAGGGTGCTGATGATGGAGATCGGTGAGGATCTGGACAAGTCTGACGTGTCTGCACTGACTTTCCTCATGAGGGACTACACAGGCAAGACAGCCAAGGATAAGGTGCGCTTTCTCCTGTTCGGTTTCCAGAGGCCCGTCAGAAGTGTGCTGCTCCGGGTCAGACATCTGCCCTGGTTTTTCGTAGTAGCATTTGTGGCAAGAGAAGTGGGAAGAGATCGGGTGATGTGGTTTCCCGGTGTAGCCTTAGTGTTCCTTTTATTCTTAGACTTTGTCCTCCTTTTTTTTTTTTTTTTTTGGTACCAGGGATCAAAGTTGGGTCCTTGTGCTTGCGCAGCAGGCGGTGAAACCACTGAGCTAAATCCCGGGCCCCTTTTTTTGTTGTTTTTGAGGCAGGGACTCACTGTATAGTTCATGCTGGCCTTGGCAGTCCTCCTGCTTCAGCTTTCTGAGTGCTGGGATTACAAGCATGTGCCGCCACATCTGGCTGTCCTTTCTTAAGCCATTGCAGGCTCGGTGGACCTCTGGCAGGGCCAGGCAGTACTCTGCTTGTGCTGAGCAGGGATAGGCTGGGCAGGCTCTTGCGTTTCTCCTCAGGGAACACCAGGTCAGCTGGGTCACCAGGTACTGTGACTGACGCTCGGGAAGTGGCTCAGAACAGCTGTGGGCTGGAGCGCAAGGAGGAAGATGGTCTCGGGGATGAGGCCGAGGCTGGGAGGGGACTCACATTCCACTTGGCCCCACAGCACTGCAGGAAGGGGCAAGAAAGTCCGCAGCTCGGACGTGAGGGCTGGCACGCCTGGGGCCAGCCTGCCACGAAGGATCCTGGCTCCAGAATCTCCTCCAGCTCGTAGTGTAATTTATTTCTGGAATCTGGAAATGTGGGGTGCCTGCTCCTGTGTCAAATGCAAAGGAGAAAGGAAATGAAAACAGGGCTCATTTGTTGATCTCTGCTAATCAGCTTCTCCCTCATCATTTGTATAAAGTTAATTATGTTTTGTTTTTAAAAAAATAAAGATAGCACTTCAGTGACCAGATGTTAAACACAAAGGGAATAGAACCCAAAGACGTGGCTATTTCTGAGACGCAGTTTCAAAGGCCCCTGTGGCCCAGTGTGGATCTGGAGCAGAACCTTAAATCTTACTCTCCACCATCCTGAGTCACAGTGAGATGGAATGTCCAGCACTGATTAAAAGAGTTTGAGAAGTTTACAAATGTAGAACTAGGATTTTTCTCTGAAGTCCTTTCTCCCAACTACCTTCTCTTCCCTTTTCTGGGGAAGCCCTCAGAGTTTTCAGTACAACACCAGTCTGGCCTTTTAGAAGTGATCTCTCATGGGACACCTGACGACACACAGTAGCCCCGTCTCTCCCCAGCCTGGCTGGTGACAAGGGCCTTACCCCCTCTTTCCTGAGTAAGGTCCAGGAGGGTAATGTGCTCAGGGAAGAGGCGTCTGGGTTGGACCCTGCAGGTCCCTGCCAGGGTTCATCTGGTCACCTTTTCTTGCTGCTGTAAATTGCATGGCCTGGGGTTTGTGTAGGCTCATTGGCTGCACTGACATTTGCTTTTTGTTGGTGGCTCTTAGAGTTTCTTGGATCTCGTCATTGAATTGGAGAAATTGAATCTGGTTGCTCCAAATCAATTGGACTTACTAGAAAAATGCCTAAAGAACATCCACAGACTAGACCTGAAGACGAAAATTGAAAAGTACAAGCAGTCTGGTAAGAAGAGCTTTGGCCTCTCAGCAGTAAAGGAAGTACTCTGCACAGAGGTGTAGCTGGTGAAGATCAATTGATCAGTAGGTGGGTGGAAGGCAGCCTGAATGTCCAGAGCCCTCGAGCCTGTGGCTGCAGATTCTATCCCTTTATATCTTACGTCCCAGGCCTGCGACTCCATTGTCTGACCATTGCAGTCCTGAACATTCTAGCCTTTGAAAAAGAGTCTGAATATTCACAGGCCGGTGAAGCTGTGAACATATAGAGCTTTTGTGTGTTGCATGCTACTGCCTGGCTGCAGTATTTGACCTGGCAACTAGCATCCAACTCTGGGTGGTGTCCTCAGGGTCCCATACCCACCCTGTGTGTCTTAAGTTTCGCCAAACTTGGTCCTGGAGAGGAGCACCTTCCCTTGGTCTTCTCCTTCACACTGCCCACCCCACTGTCTTTCAGCCTCCGCCTTAGCTTGGACTCTGTTAGCTTGCTGTTGCTACAGGGTCACAGGCTAAGGTCGCTGGCGGAGGCTCATTGGGTTACAGACTATCCTATGCCTGGACACACTGAGATGACTGCTGAACAACCAAGGAGGGGAAGAGCATTTTTAGTCCATTGTTGATGTGTGATAGAAGAGTCATCCGATACTTTGAATTCAGTTAGTGGGTTGGAAAGTTTAGGGTATTTCAAAAGACTGTGGTTGAACTTGGACTGAACTGAACCACTGTTGAAGATTCATTTGATAATAATTTATAAATCTTAACTCAATGCCTTTCTTTTCCTTTATAGCTCAAGGAGCACGAACAAGTTACACGAATTCTGTCCAAGCCTCTTTCCCAAACTTGAGTCTCAAAGATCTTTCACATAATTTAAGGGTGAGTGTGAAGTAAACACATGGAATCCCAGCATGAAACAGTTTCACAGCTTCAAGAAAAATAGACTTAGTGTCACAGAATATACTTTAGCAGCTGAGAAAATTATGTCAGAAATATATTTTTAAAATATGTATAACTTCCTGTTACTACAAAATAAATACATGTTTGTTGAGCTCCTTGGCAAATAGTTTTTGTTGTTGTTGAGTGATGAAAGAAGGTTTTTTTCATTTGTGAACATAAATGTCACGTAGTCATTTATGGTTGTGACAGCAGTGGATAGCACAAGGTATCATCAGGGTTATCGTGTGGTTAATCTTTTATCTTGAGAGAAAAGACCTTTGGTGTCATGTTATCCTTGCCTCTATATAAAGTTAAGTGGAATTTTTAGGGAGGACTTAAGAGTACAGTTTCACAGTTAAATTATAAACACTTTCATAGAAGGATGTGATGAAATATTAACTACCCCCTAATAAGCAACACTATTGACCAGCGGGCGACAGAGGCGTTTAGGACTGCACTGTCTCACCCACTCCCTGAGCAAGGCAAGGTGCTGAGGCCGGGGTGGACAGCACTGTCCGCCCGCGCGGCCAGCTGGGCTCGGGCTCAGGGGAGCTCAGGAGCCACTGCCCTGCCATGGCTGAGATGCAGCTTTCCTCAGTGCCTGAGTCTGAGACACTGAATCATGAGATAAACAGGTTTAGGTTCAGATCCAAACTTCCCACGCTTTCTCTGCTATCTATGTCATGTAAACTTTATGCCATTCCTGTTAAAAACCTGCCACATTTTGTTTTTTCTGTTTTGTACACAAAGACGAGCATATTCGCTGTCTGTGAAGCTTGTTGGGAACCTGTGTGGTTTGTGAAGACGTTTCCCCTTAAATTCGCTCGCTCTGTTTAATATGTGACCCTGCTCATTCATTTATTTAGTAAGTAGGCAAGATGGTATACGAACTTGGTAACTTTCTCACAAGATTTAGGAGCTGAATACCTACTTATTAATTCATATGAGACTGCTGAAATGCTTCAAAAATTGCCCTGGGGCTGGTGTGATCCCACACATCTACAATCTCATCACCTGGGAGGCAGGAGGGTCACAAATTCAACTCCAGCCCGGGCAGTTTCGCAACTTAGTGAGATCCTATCTCAAAATAAAGAATAAAAAAGGGCCAAGGATGTAGCTCAATATGAAGGCCCTATATTCAATACCCAGTATGGAAAAAAATTGCAATGGCATTAAACGCCACAGGGTACCAAGATAGTCTAGAAAAAAGTTGGATGACTGTAATATAATGCTTCTGAAGTGTACTTTGATTTGCTTTTCTCTGTGTTTAACTATGTAAAAGTGATTAGACTCTATGGGAGAACAATTTTTATCCAATACAATCAGCCTCTGGCTAGGTCAGTTATTGCCGATAAAAGCACTTGCATGCCTTTCTGTAATGTAATACCAGATGCAGCTCCCATTTAATGGATAGTGTACTTCTCTCTTTCGGCTAGGACAGCTTCAGAGGAGAACTGTCATTTGAAAGCTGAGCATGTCAGAGGAGTGGCAGTCCGGTGTGTGTCCCTTACACAGGACCGGCCATGAGAGAGGAGGAAGGGTCACTTCGATGTTTCACTGTCTCCTTTTCCTGTTCTAGTCCTCTAAAGTGGTTATCCAGAGGTCATAACTATCAAGGATCAGGCCCACGTGTTACGTAGGTGAAACTAATTATAGAAATGCAGAAGCTGGACACTTAGAAAAGACTCCGTGTGCTCCTCACGGTGTTGAGCGATCCTGTACATAAATGATAAGGTCGCTGCTCTTAACTGCCCTCACCTGAGGTGGAACAACTTGCTCAAGAGACCCAGCTAGGAGGTGGCCACCTCGAGACTCGGAGCCAGATGTGTCCGGCCTAGATCGCAGGTCCCAGCACGATGTCCCCTGCCTCTGTCCAGGGAGGGGATCCGGTGCCAGCCTCCTGCCCCAAGGGCCTGCTCTGACCTGGAGCTCTGACAGTGGCTTTCGCACCAACCGCCCGGCTTTTTCGAGCAGTTCTGAGGCATTCTAATATGCTAATTTAGCATTTGTACCCTTTCTTCATCTTTTCATTTTAAAAATAGCTCCCTTGTTCTTTGCCTGTATGATAGTTATGCTGTCCTTTAGATAACTAACTGTGAAGTGATATTTTTATTTCTTTCCTAGGTAAGAATGCTACTGAGATATTTAAAGTGCTGTGATACCATGTCTCTCTGAGGAAACTAATTGAGTGTGACCTTATTCTTTGTATTTGAAGCTCCAGAATGGGAGAAGTAAGGGAGAAAAACTCGAGACACATCATCGAAGTAAGAACATTTCTTTCTGTCCATTCTTCATAAACATTTGATGATTCAACTATAAAATGTTGCAGTTTTACAGTTGCCTATTTCCTTTGTCTGCGTGTTCCAGGCAGTTAACTGACATGTATTCACGGCATTTCTAGCTCCCCGCTGAATTAGCTCCTTTAAATGTGGATATCTCCCTGCCAGGGCGGTCACTGGAGCTGTATTCTTAAGCTGCGTGACATTTATACCCTGACGTGGAGCCATTCCCAGGCCCTGTTTAACAGTAATCCAGCCACGATCATAACCCATGTTTAACCAGATATCTAGCAGCAGAAGGAAGAAAGGTTAATAGGTTCTTGCTCAATAGCCCATTTAGTAAAAGTGGATACTCTACCGAAGACCTCCTCTCACCCCTAAGAAGAAAGAAAACATGCAAATAAAAAGTCCCGTCATCTTGACCCGCATGGCCGCTCTCTGAGAGCCGTCAGCCCTGGGTCCCACAGCATCATCCTTTAGTGGCTTCCTTTGCTGCTCATCCTGAGGCCTCAGTGCGGGATGCTGTGGCCAGGATGCCCCTGGGTCCGTCTGTGCAGTGCAGACTCAGCGTCCTGAGCAGGCGCTGGGTGTGTACTGCTTGCTGGGACCCTGGGACTCAGCCGTGGGCCCCTGTGGTGTCTGCCAGGTCAGCAGATGGTGCGGCTTCCGTCCCCACTGCATGTCTGCTCTCCAGCAAGCCCTGTAGAAGGCAAATCAATTCCTGAAGTGACAGGATGCTTCTTCTCAAAACACTGCTGAGGTGCTGAGAAGTAGCAAGCTGCAGGCTGGGCAGAGACCGCTGGCTGGTTTTGCAGGGTGTAAATGAGCACGCTCTTTGCTCTTTCCTCTGGGTCAGAGAGCAGGGAAGGAGCAAGGGCCTTACCCGGCAGTCCTTTTCAACCTGGCCTGAGTTTCTTTTCTGATAGCTGAAAAAGTTCTGATAAATTGGCTTTCTTCTAAGAGAAGTTTAAAATAATCAAGCCAAGTATTCACAGTAATTTGAACTTCCAAATAGATTTTGACTGAAAGACCCAGATGGTAATGTGTGCTTTTCAAGATATTGGAGATGCTCTGAACTGAGAAACACTGCGTGAATTATTTTGTGGGTTGTTTGTTCTGTTAATGTGTGATTCTTAAAATACAGATCAGACAGAACGTTTCCTAGTTTCACACACCACGGAAGCCACTGCTGATGTGTGAGTGTGCTCGCAGACTCCTGTCAGCACACACAGTGTCCCTTGGTGCAGGGGCCTGCAGGAGCATAGGGCCCATCCACAAAACCGGGTTGTGTTTGCCAGGACTGCTCTGGGCTGGGCTGGCGCCTGGGGCAGGAGAGTGTGGGGCTGGGCGTTGCTCAGGACACACGAGCTTGCGTGTGCTGTGCAGACGCAGTTCCCTCCCTGAATATTCTCCACCCCTGGGTGGTTGAGCCACGCAGGGATGCAGACCCGGGCGCGCAGGCTCTGTGTCACATGTGTCAGACATGCACGTTGTTTGTGCATGGACTCATGTGCTGCACACATTATTTAATAATCCACTTTTATCTTAATGTGCCCTGCATACCTTTTCATACCAAATACATAAAGATCCATACCCTTTTTAGCCATTATATGTACCGTGACTGACTTACTTGGTTTCATGTTTGTGGACTTTTAGGCTCTTCCTAGTCTGGGTCCTTATAAACAGTCCTTCAGTGGGTCTCTTTTTAGGAGGGGTGCTTTAGCCTGTGTAGCTCAGGTCGGCTGGGATATCACAACAGTCTTCCTGCCTCAGCCTCCTGAGCTGAGATTACAGACATGCACCACCACGCCTGGCTTTGGTGGCTATAACAGAAGTGCATTTTTGCACTCATGCTCTTATTTCCCTGAATGTTCAGAGGCAGAATGTTAGCTTAAAGGAGGGCACCCGCTGCCCTCTGAAAAGACTGTTGCAATTAGTTCAGTATTGGACCTGAAAGTGCTTGTTTTCCCCAAGCCTTACCAATACGGAAAGTTTCTTTGGCTGTTTTTAGACACTATTTTTCAGTTTGCAACAGTCTTGTGAGACAGTGTAAAGACTTCAGTTTCGGGATTACTAAACCCCGAGATTGGCACTGCACAGGGGAGAGCCAGGGGTCCCTGTGCCCTTCGGCCTCATGAAGCCCTCTTACCCCGCACGGTGTGCCGTGGGGCTCTGTGTCTGTCTAGTCCCCTCCCTTCTCGCTGTGTATCTTACCACCTCCCTGTGTCCCTCCATATGGAAGTCCTAGGCTTTGCTCTGAGAGCCATGAAACCCAGGAGCTCTCTTCCTGTGGTTTTGGGTGTGTAGGGAGCCATTGGTGTTGCTGAGTAGTGCAATTGCTGAATTCTCCAGTTGGGTTAGAAGCTTGCTGGAACCTAGGCCTCCCCAAGAGAAGGGCAAGGGAGAGGCCTCCTTTGCTTGCTATTCAAGCAGTTTCTCTACACAGCCCTGCACAGGGTAGGCACTTAGGACTGATTGATTGCAGAGACGGGGGTCTTGCTGAGTAGCCCAGGCTGGCCTCAAACTTGAAGCGATCCTCCTGCCTCAGCCTCCTGTGTGCTGGGATCACAGGCGTGCACCACCATGCCCGGCCACCATGCCTGGGCACTTGGGTTTTATCTGTGCTGCATGTATCCGGAGGAAGACAAGGACAGCTGAAGACAGGAAGCTGGACAGTGGCGGCGAGATGAAGAGCAGCCAGCGGCCGGGCTGAGGTTCCCTCTGCTCTGTGACAGTGCTTTCTTTCTCTCCCCAGAACCCGTGAAGATGTCTGTTCAGGAATCAGGAGCCTTCTCGCCTCAGGTGCAGAATAAATGAGCTGATTCGGTGTTGTAGTGTACACGGTACCCGAGGGAACAGAGTTCTGAAACAAACTGTCCGTTAAGAAGCCCCTGTGACTGTGCGACTCTCTGCGTGGCTTTCCGAGAGCTTGTTCGCAGGGACCTTGAACACAGCACAGAGGGCACTTGAAGTGGCTCGTATTAGGGGACGGGTACAGGCGGGTTCCAGGGCCGGGGTGGGGTGGGATTGGGGGCAGGGTTGTCCTGAGAAGCAGCAGCAGGTGTCCCCCTTTGTCACTGTTTCTACTTCGGGTCACAGTGGAGACATAGTTTCCGATTGTCTCTAGTCTGCGAAGCTAGTGAGGTGCAGTTTTCATTAAACTTAAGTAAAAATGGAAATAATGCAGCTAGTTTGTCCTAAGCACACGGCTAACCGGAAACTGCTACTGATGGGTCAGACCGGCCGCTTGAACTGCGGACTGTGCAGCTTGGGGGGGCGCTTGAGGGGATGGAGCCGAGGGAACAAGAGGTGGGGGCTGCCTCTGGGGGCCATAACAGTCCTCGGTTTTCTTCCCAGTGCACGCCCCTGGAGAGATACCGGATGCGGAGCAGGCCCCTGGGCATCTGCTTGATAATCGATTGCGTGGGGAGCGCTGCAGGTAGGTGTGGACGCTGCACGTGACTGATGTCCGAGCCCAGCCGTGTGGCCCGGCCTTGCAGGGGCCTGGGTGCCTGTCCAGCTTTGTCGGGAGCCGTGCAGGATGGGTTTGGGGAGCGCACGGCTGAGCTGTGAGGGCTGGTGTCATCGGTCCAGGCTTTCTGTGCCGGAGGCGGTGGCAAGAGGGTCCTGGACCCTGCACGGCCTTGGGGCTCCAGGTGGCATCGGGTGCCCTTTTGCTTCGCTCCCACAGCCTGTGACGGCCTTGCTTGGGGCCGTGAAGCCAGACATACGTGGGTTCTGGGGCGCTTGGTGTTGCCTGAGCCACATGCCCTAGATCCGCGTCCCAGCTCCGCTTGCTGCGCCCACGCCTGCGCCTGCGTCTGCGTCTGCGTCTGCGCCCGCGTGTGCGTCGTGGGGATCCGGGTGCACCTTTCGCCCAGCTGCTGCCGGGCATCTGACTCACTGACCAAGGCGAGGCATCAGCGGGGACAGAGGAGCGGGGCTTGGGTCTCGTGGCTCGTGCTCTGATTACTGATTGACCTCTCCTGTGAGAGTCGATTGTTCTGGTTCAGAGCTCCCAGATTCTCGACATTGTGTTATGAAGAGGTAGAACAATCTTTTAGGCTCACTTAAAATGTTACCGTGGGAGTTTTGTTTGTTTTCTTGGCTGTACTAGGGATGGAACCCAGGGGCGTCCTAACACTGAGCTACATCTTGTGGTCCCAGTTCAAGCCCAGCCTGGGCTGCTCACTGTGACCTTGTCTCCAAAAAAAAAAGAAAGAAAAGAAAAACACAGCTATAGCCCAGGGTGAAGGCCCTGGGTTCAGTTCTCAGTGCTGCGAACCTGTGCGCTGCTTTCTTGTGTGCTCTTTTGGTTGGCTGTGAGAAATGCAGTCCCCTCAGCAGGGGTGAGCGTCCTCTCCTCTTTAGCCACTGCATCCTCGTGGGAATGAGGAGCTGTCTTCTCACCGGCTCTCCTGCTTAGAGGAGGCTGTGGAATGGCCCTCAGTGACTCGCCCCGTTCTCCTGCACTTGGTGCTGTGCTGTGCTGTGCTTAGAGGCCCAGGACCAGGGAGCTGCGTTCTCCGTAGCAGTCAGGACTTAGTTTGTTGGGCCCTGGTCAGGGCTTGCCCACAGACTGGCAGACCTTTCCTTTTCTCTCTGGTTCAAGATATTTGCTTAATGGAGCCGTTCTATGGAAGGTATCAGTTGGCGTGACCGCATGTGGATCACAGCGAACTCGAAATCAGCGAGCCAGGACATGTTGTTGTGTTCGGTTTTTCAGGGCTTTTCCACACCTGTCCTGAGCCTGTGGGCGGGTGGTACCTTCCGGGCAGCCCGCACTAACATGTTTGGGAGAAAACCTGTCATTTCAAGAGGTCTTTTCTGGGGAACAGGTGGAATTTCCACCGAGGTCTGGGGCGGGAGCGGGGTTTCCAGCCTGTGTACAGGCAGACTGTGTACAGGTGACTTCTGCTTTCATTAAAGCTTTATTTTCCACATTGGCACTGAGCTTTTCTTCCCCATCTGTGGGCAGAGAAGGCAGTGACGAGGCCTCGGGGCCTGTCCTGTCCACCTGGGCCCTTTTCAGAGTGGGATGCAGACCCCCCCGGGTCACAGTTCCAAGTTCTGGGTCCCGTTGCTCCCCCTGAGCCCTCCTTCTCCGACTGGCCAGGCCAATTCTTCTCCCTTGGCATCGGCCTGTTCTGTTGGAGCAGCCCTCAGTATTGCGTCCACCCGGTCCCCCAGCGCCTCCAGCCGCCTTGCCAGGAGCAGGCTCAGGTGACGGCCTCAGTCACGGGGCTGCCACTTCCTGAGCCCACAGTCGGGGATGCCCGTGTCCTGGGCCACTGAGTCAGGCGGGACTGCATGGAGGAGGAGCGGGCAGCATGCTGTCGGGGGTGGGCACGGGACACTGAGCGGGGCGGCTGAGCCACCTGCTGAGTGCCTCATCTTGCCAGGGTCCTGTGGTCCTGTTCCTGCCCATCTGGGGTTGGTGCTCCTGGCCTAGACGGAGGCTGCTGGGTCAGGGCTCCAGCTCCATCTCCATCCTTTTCTTCTTCCTGTCTGCTGGCCAAGGTTTTCCCATGACGGCCCTGGCCCCTTCTCCGTGGCCTCTTCTGAGGGCAGGTGATTCCTAGGGCAGGAAGAAGCTCAGGCCCTGGGGCTCTGAGACCAGTTCCTCCTTCACCTGCACCATGCTGCTGCTGCTCACAGCTGTGACAGGGCCAGGGCCAGGGCCAACTGGAACCTTCTGGGTAGTCCTCAGGGAGAGCAGGGGCGGGGGGCGTGTACTGGCCTGGGGCCCTGTCTCCCCTGCACTCTGCCCCTAGAGGACCGAAGGAGTCCCACCCAGCAAGAGGCATCTGGAATGAGCGGTAGTGGAGGGACTGGTGTCCTCCTTGTCCTGCCCTGTGTCCACCTCAGTGTAGCGCGGGGCACTGAAACCTTGGTGTGCTGGGAGGCAGACAGACCTTTCTGTCTCTCTGGGGTCCGAGGAGGCTGAGTGTGCCGTTTCCTCGGTCATCTAAAGCTGCAGATCATGTCCTCATACCCTGATAACGGTACTGAGCGAGGACCTGGGACACAGGCCGCTGCCTTGGATCTGTGTGTGATTCCAGGACACAGGGATTCACTCTTTCACACCTAACAGTAGCAGGCAGGAGGGAGAGGTAAGCACCGAACCTGTGGTTCTCATCCCCTTTGGCTGCTAGTAGAGGTCACGAGACTCAGCTGCTAGGTTTCTTACCTAACCGTATGGACAGATTACTGCTGCTGAGTGGCTTCAAATGGTAGGAATTCAAGGTCCCAGAGCTCGGGGGAGGCCGTGGTCGTCAGCAGGGTCTGAAGCCTTCTGAGGTGACTCATTCCTGCAGTGGGGCTAGCTCAGGACACTGCTCTTCTCATGGCGTGACACTGGCTCCCGAGGGCATGTGCGTAAGGACAGCAAGGCCAGTGGAAGCAGGGCTTCGGTGGGACACAGTCTCACGTCTGCCACAGAAGTCCCCAGAAGTGGTTTCAGGCTGGTCCATGTCCAAGAGGGACAGGCTGTGCATCCTGTGTGGAGGAGTCGCAGGACAGGTGAGTGTGTCTCCAGCCTGCCGCCTCTGCTAGGCTTTGGGCCACAGCTGAGCCTGGGCCAGAAAGCCCCATTGCAGCCTGTGCCACAGTGAACAGATCCTGCTCATAGCCTGAGTGAATTAAATCCATAACACGCAAGCCAGCTCTCCCTTGCTGAGTGTGTGTGCGCAGATGTGCATGGGTCACTGACACAAGCGCTCCGCCACTGAGCTACATTCCCAGCCCACTCTGGCCTTGAGCTTTTGATCTTCCTGCCTCAGCCTCCCAAGTAGCTGGGATTACAGGCATGCACTGCCACACCTAGTTATCCCAGCCTTTTGTTTCCCCAAGGTCGCGTTCCTTTTTCTTTAACCAGTTATCTTTTCCCTAGTTGCTACTGAGAGTCTAAAACAGAATTTGAGATTTCTTTTGCTCATGGTTACAGTTGGCCCATGGCTGGTCAGGTGCTGGGCAGGGTGGCTGACACTGTCAATGGAAGCCATGGCTTGACTGATGTGTGACTCTGTACTTAGCCTTGCTCCCGTTAGCGTGAATCTCTCAGCCATGCGCTGCCTTAGCTGTTTTCCCTTGGTCTGTTCCTGTGATTCCCTAATGCATGTCCAGTGGTGGAAGTTACGCTGCTGTAATGATTACTGATGGTTTGGTTGAGAGAATGTGGGTGGGCGGACTTCTGGTTGACTGCACCCGGGACAGGAGGAGAGGTTGGCACTAGAGACAGGACAAGGGGACAAACGCAGAGAAGTGGACCGAGTCTGATGGGGACCCCGAACGGAAGATGCTTGTCGAGTCTCTGAGCTTGGGACTGAGCACGAATCCTGCCCAGAAATGAGTAAGACCAAGCAGCATCTTCAGAAATGGGAAGAACAGACCTGTATTCAAACGGGCGTGGACCCACCATGGTTCTGGGAGCGGAACCCAGGGCCCAGAGGTTACTGGGCAATGCTCTACCGCCGAGCTTCTCCACAGCCCTAATTTATTTTTCGCTTTGAGACAGGGTCTCACTGGGCTGCCCGGTCTGAGCTCAGACTTCACCCTCCTGCCTCAGCCCCCATGGGACTGGGATCACAGGCCTGTGCCACTCCAGGGACATGGGTTTTGGGTGGGGAAGAAAAAGAAGTTTCTGTTCTCTGTTAGAAAAGATATAAACTGATGAGAGGAGGCCGTGCTTATTCCTCTGCTGGAGGAAGGCCGGCCAAGCAGAGGAGAAAGCACTGGACCTGGGAGGCTCGCTGGGCCTTGAAATGTCGGGAGATGGACAGAAGGGTTTAGTCGTGGACACCTGGCCTTGCACTGCTCTCCCTTGGCCAGGTGGAACTCGTGGCCACTGGAGGGCTCTGGGGACACTGGGTGTCTTGGCAGAGGCCACCTGTCGCCCTGGAAGTGAAGCACTAGGCCCAGGAGGTGTAGGCAGGTGGAGCTGGATGCTCTGCAGGGGACATGTCTGTGCCCATATCCTCCTGACCCGAGGAAGATTTGGCTTTGCTCTGGCTGAGCAGAAACCAGCTCAGCTCCTTCTGGGCTTGGTGGCACTGGAGTGGGCTCTGGCTGCCGTGGCCACACGTACTGGTGGCCCTGGAGATGGTGGAGCAGGGACCGGTGACAAATTTCACCTTCCAGGTTATTACTGTAAGACTGAGGGCCTTACCAAACGCTCCGAGGAGCTGACTACAGTGACGATCACCCGGGAAGGAACACACCGGACAAGTTGGAAAGTAAAACAGACCTTTATTAGTCTGGCCAGACGGCACTCCCAAAGCAAAGTAGCTAAGAGAGGCAACTGGCTCAGAGTCCGAGGCTGTTTTCATAGGGGGTTGAGGGGGAGGTTAACATGTAGATTTACGGAAAAAAAGGAACAAAGGTTGGTGGTCGACTGTCACGTACTAACGGTCAGCAGACACACAGTAATGGTCACGACCATATGGTCACGACCGTCACGTACTGATGATCAGCAGACACAGTGATGGATTGTTTTACCGATAGTGGGTCCGGGAATTTTCGTTCTCCGGACAAACAAGGGGTTGAATGATTTACTTAGGAACTTTGCTTTGTTACAGGTTTTATCTACTATTTCAAGACTAACAAGCACATTCTAATGATTAAATTTTAAACATAACAGAGGCTAGGGGAATAAATGAATTTTGAATCATACAGTCCCACATTACTGTCCTCTCTGCCCAGCCTCAGGTCCGAGACCTGGACCACAGGGCGGGCTGCACTCTGAGGGACTCTCCGGCCCCTCCAGGCTTTTCTCATCCGCTGCTGTTTCCGGGCTTGTTTTCCCAGAAGTTCTTCGCGACACCTTCTCCTCCCTGGGCTTCGAAGTCCAGTGCTTTCTGTACCTTGCCGTGAGCGACATGGTCCAGGTTCTCCGCCAGGTGGCGTCCTCGCCCCAGCACCGGGAGCATGACAGCTTCGTGTGCATCCTGGTGAGCCGCGGGGACCCCCACAGCGTGTTCGGTGTGGACCAGGCCCACTCGGGGCTGCCCCTGGAGCAGGTCAGGGCGCTGTTCACGGGGGACGCCTGCCCTCCCCTCGTCGGGAAGCCGAAGCTCTTCTTCATCCAGAGCTACGTGGTGTCGGAGGCCCAGCCGGGGCCCAGCAGCCTCCTGGAGGAGGACGGGCCAGCAGTGACCAGCGTGGAGTCCAGGGAGGCGCGGCCACCGCCCCCCACCCTGCACCAGGAGGCCGATGTCCTCTGGAGCCAGTGCCTGGCCCACACGTGCGTGCTGGAGCAGCCCGGCGCTGCGCCCCTCGTGTACCTGCAGGGCCTCTCCCAGCAGCTGCTGCAGGACAGGTGAGGCCAGGGCAGCCAGGAAGCAGGGTGGGAGGGGCGGAGGTGAGGGAGACAACTGCTCCCCACCCAGTGACAGCCCGAGCCAGTCCCACCTCCTGCAGCAAGCAGCTCCGCCTCCACCGCCTGGGACCTCCGGGCCCTGGCTCTGAGCGCGTTCCTCACCAAGGCCATAAGCAGAGCCAGCCCTGCGCACCGCGTCCCGTCCCGCTGTGCCGCTCTGACATTTCCTTTTGGCTGTAACTTTTCATCTGCTGGTGTCTGCTGAGGCGCCCAGAAGGGGCCCTGTGCCCTCAGACGCCGCGTCGCACCACTGCACGGCGCAGCCCCCCCTCCGAGACCCGCTGGGCGCTGGGCGCTGGGCATGGCCGGGCCAGAGTGGTGTGCGCTGTGCGGGCCTCCGGCTGTGCACGCGGCAGCCCCTACCCCTCACTTTCCATCGCCCACCGCTGGCTGCGGCCTGAGAATATTAAATGGACATCAGAAAACAGGCGCCGCCTGGCTTTACACAGCTGTGGCTAGGTCGCTGTGACCGCACCCCTTACTGTCCGTGCCTGCTGCTCCACACCCGCTGAGCCTGGCCTACCACTGGGCTGTCCTCCAGGCGTCCGGGGACGAGCAGCCTACCGGGGTCCTGGCCACGTCCCCGTGGCTGAGGGCTGCGGTCAGTGTCTCATGTTGGTGGCATGGATGCCTTTCTGCGGGAATGATGCATCCCGGTTCCAGTCAGGCTGAGTGGAGCCCGTGCCTGGCTCCTGGAAGGTTGGCTGGTCTTCCCCAGGGGCCCCAGTGGTGGCTGAGCCCTTGCTGGGCACAGTCTGGCTGTGGCTCTGGGGCCAGGGCTGGGTCTGAAAGCTGTCTCTCTCCAGCCCCTTGGGGGGCTTGGCCTTCCAGGCCTTTCTGGGTCTCCCCGAATTGAAGAGGTTCCCAGCGGTTGCTGTCAGCCAGTGAAGCCCAGTGCTGGCTCCAGGGGTGGCAGGGACTTCTGTGGTGGTCAAGGCAGCCACAAGTCTGTCGCACAAATTCCCTTCTGCCTTTCTATTTCTTTCAGAAAACGGCCACTGTTGGACCTGCACATCAGGCTCAACGGCACAGTGTACGACTGGAACAGCAGGGTCCCCACCCAGCAGAGGTACAGCCTCTCCCTGCAGCACACGCTGAGGAAGACGCTTGTCCTGTCCTCCACCTGACCCCTGACACCGCGTCTCCTGGCCACGCAGCTCCATCTCCAGAGAGGAGCAGGTTGCAGAGTTCAGAGAAGCTCAGGAACCGGACTGGAGCCTGTGTCTGCACAGCTCCTCCTCGAGGAAGCTGTGGGCTCTGCTGCTGAAACAGGCAGAGGAGGGGAGAAGGGATGGAGGGGAGAGGAGAGGAGATAAACAGGAGACAAGAGGAGGGAGAGCAGAGCAGCAGAGCAGAGCAGCAGAGCAGAGCAGCAGAGCAGAGCATGGGGAGGCAGCAGGGCTGTTGGTGATCAGTGTTTATTCCTGTGTCCCCAAGCTGGTCTCCCGTCCCCTTGGCCCCCGAGTCCCGTGTGTCTGCAGGACCCCATGGGAGGCCGAGAGGGCGCTGTGCAACCCCGTGAGCTCTCAGCCCTGGCATTGCTGTGGCACTTGCCCTCTGCTTCGGGAGCCAGCACCCTGTGCCCCAGGCCCAGGCAGCACACCACCCTCACGACTGCTGTCCAAGGTCATCCAGCCCAACCCAGCCCCAGCTCCCTCCCCGCCCACCTGGGCCTCAGCTTCAGCCCCTCGCCAGGGCTCCCTGCTTTTCTCAGGGCTCCCTGCTTTTCTGCATGCGCCCACCGGCAGCAGCTCCCTCCCCCCAGCCCCAGCCACCTTGGCCTCACCTGCTGGTTTGTTCTGTCCTGTTTTACAGCTTAACTGGCAAACCTTCCTCTTTTTCATGGTACTGGGGGTTGAACCTGGGCTTTTGCACTGAGCTACTCCCCAGTTCTTTTTTATTTTTCATTTTCAGACAGGGTCTGAGTTCCCCAGGGTGTCCTGAAACTAACAATCCTCCTGCCTCAGCCTCCCAGAGTGCTCTGTGTTTCTGTCTTGGTCAGGTCTTTTACCGCCCTTGTTCCTGGCCTCTGCAGTGCTATCTGGCCCAGCACAAGTGACAGATATTTTCTCTTTCTTTTCTTTCTTTTTTTTTTTTGGTACTGGGGATTGAACTCGGGTCCTTATGCTTTTGAGGCAAGCGGCGGAAACACTGAGCAAATCCCCAGCCTTATTTTCTCTTTCTTCTGGTTCTTATCACTAACTGTAACAGGACATTACTTTTGCTTTTCTGGTGAGACAACCACTGCGCTAAACCGTGAGAGCGCGCTTGCTCCTGCTTTGGGGTGGACGGTAGTCAGCTGTCCCATTGCTAGTACAGAACACCCGACCACTGCAGCTTCAGGGAGGAGACTCACAGTATTAGAGGGTTCAGTCTGTGGCTGCTGTGCAAGGGTGAACAGAACAAGGCACTCCCTTCATGGGGGCCCGGAAGCAGAGCCCGGGAACCGCCAGAAGGAAGGAGGCAGAGACCAAGTGTGGACCCCGAGGCCCTGGCCCACGCCCGCCCAGACACACACCCCAGAGCCTTCCTGACCCCGCGGCCCCCCCGAGCGCTAAGCTTAGCTTCCACAGGGTGATGTGTGGGACGCTGGCCACCACATCACCTTCTGCACCCCACACGGTAGATACGCGAAGAAACAGTGTTTATGTGGGAAGTTAGGGTTACAGGGCCGGAGCCCCAGTGTGAGGGCTTTGAAGGCTCTCGGCCCGGCCATGTCTTCAGCCGGCTGTCACACAAGTTAGTTTCCTTACTCTAACAGCAGGGTCTGACTCCTTTTTTGCCTCTTGTGCACAAGCCCTGACTTACCAAGTGCTTTCCTTTCGACTTTTCACTGCGTGTAGTTTTTAGGGAAACATGTCTGTTAGGTACAATAACAGACAGTTATAGATAGGTCATGAGGTAGTGATTACCACGTCCCAGCAAGCCAGCTAAACTTGAATGTTCTGAAATGTATGCAAAGAGATTTAAGATATTTCTTTAAGGTCATGGTCCTCAGTAGAAAAAGAGATAAGCACTAAAATACTTCAGACTTTATCATAGCCCCAAACTAATAATTAGTCACTGATAATAGTGACTAATAGTAATGACAGGATACTCACTGATTAGAAATTTTATGTAGCCATTCTTTTTTTGGTACCAGGAATCAAACTCAGGATCTTGCACTTTCAAGGCAGGCACCAGAACCACTGAGCTAAATCCCCAGCCTTATGTAGCTATTCTAATTATATACGCAAGGTCCTTTCTTTCATGCTGTTGATTATGATGTGGATGTGATGGGTGGATCTCTCACTGCCATCTTGAGCTGTGAAGACAAAGCCGCACTCGAGGGGCAGCTGTGTGCTAGGGAGGAGAAAGTTTGTTGGATGAGGAGGAAAGCACCACACCTTCCCAGACTACTACCCTCTGGACTTTGACGTGAGAGAAAAAGTTGCATTTCTCGGAACACAGTCCAACTGGTGTATTGTTATTTGGTTAAAATGTCTGGAATATTTGTGCATATTATAAGCTTGCAAGAAATTTTCTGTAGATGATTATTTTTATTTTGTAATTATTTAAAATACACGTATACTGGGCTAGGGATTTAGCTCGGTGGTTCCGCCACCTGCCTTGCAAGCGTAAGGACCCGAGTTCAATCCCTGGTACCAAAAAACCAACAAAAACAAAAAACAAAAAAAGATGCACGAACACCTAAGTCTGAGCTGCATAAGGGACTTGGGCACCAGTGAGCGGGTTCCCCACGGATACCGAGGACGGCTGAGCCCAGCCTACCAACCCACGCTTTCCATAAAGAGCAAAATACATGTCTCAGCTAAAACTGCCATTTAGAAAGTTTGGATGAGTTTAGGGTTTATCTACGGCGCCTGTTCATCCGTACTGACATCATGTTCACAGAGATACTGTGTTTTCCTGCAGTGGCAGACTGGCGCCTCGAAGTTCCAAAGCTTGGTGGGAGCGCCGGTGGAGTGGGGGGCTTTTCCGCGTGTGTCCGCTGGAGGGCGCCCCGGGCCGCGGCGCTCGCAGAGCAGCGGTGTCTGTTACGAACTCAGAGACGTTCCCAGTAGCCTTTCATTTTTACAGATTCCTATTTATTAATATTGTCGCCAGAATGCCAGACTATTGTGTAGTTTTTAATAAAATGTGATGCTATGAAGTGTATTTTCCTGACATAAACGTTCACGTACTACATAAGTACGAGTGTTAATGTGTGCAGTGTCTGTGGGTCTTGTGGATAAGTCACGAAGGGGAGCCGAGGGCGTCAGGGTCCGGCGGGTGACTGAACTCCTGTCACTGCCTGTGGTCTGCTGGGGGCGGAGGTGCGCGTGCAGACTGGGGTGCCGCCCGCACAGCCGGAGGGGTCTCTGGTGGAGAGGTCGGCACCCCGCTGTGTGCACGCAGCTGGGCAGGTGGCTGGAGCCCGGGACCCGGCCTGTGCCTCGCTTAGGAGAGCAGGAGGGTGGTCCGGGCCTCGGGCCTGCAGCGTCCTCAGAGGTGCAAACGTGAGT